CCCTGGCCCCTGACCCAAAGAGATAGCGAGGGAGAAAGAGAAAGGCAGAAAGACAGAAAGACAGAAAGACAGAAAGACAGAAAGACTGAAAAAACCAAAAAAACAACAGAAAAAAAAGGAAAGAAAGAAAAAAGAAAGAAAGGCAGAAGCAACAAAGAAAGAGAGAAAGAGAGAAAGAGAGAAAGAGAGAAAGAGAGAAAGAGAGAGGGAAGGGCAGGTGGTCCTGGCAGGAGGGCTCCGTCGCATTGAGCACTGCAGGGGCTTGGCAGTTGGCCTGAATGACAACACAAGCCCAAAACGACGTTGGGCTCCACGCTGGGTTCTGGCGAAATCAAACCTGGCATTTAAAGGTTCGACCTACACAAAACCCAGGGTAGATCCTGGCGACCCTGGGCTTTACAGCGAAAGCTTGTGGAAATTATCCGGCGATACTCAGCACTTAAACGGGGAGGTTTCCCAGTATCACAGTGGCAAAAAACATCTCGTTCCCAAAGCACTGCCTCAAAACACTTGCCGAGTGAAGCCAAAAAAAAATATGCCCCAACTCCCCCCGAAGACTTTGAAAGTTCAGCCCCAAGAGCGAAGTATCTTGCCTTTTTGTAGGAGCCGTGAAGGTCGATGAAACACCCAGAGTTCTGTGTTCTTCTATTGAGATGGGCGTGCCCTGAAAAAGAGAACCGGGTCTCACCAAATAAAAATACCCTCCCACCAATTAAGATGGAACCTGACCGAGGGGGTCCTGGAAGACCATTTCCTTTTGAAGGGACCCCCGGTCAGGTTCCGTAATTAGTGGAGGGCAATTAGAGTAGCCAGAATGCTTGCTGGCGCTTCGCTTGAAAAGTCAGAGTCTTCTACGCTCTCGAAATGTCGTGAGTCTCATGTCTCTATTAAGTTGACCCACTTGAACATTTGAGCACTCAACTGCTGCAGAAAGCCCAAACGTCCTTCGCATCATGGTTCCCTTGGGACTGGCATAGCGACATGTCCATCCAACGGACCTTACATCGGAAAGCAGAGTGCCCTGCTTTCCGAGCAAAGCACCCTGCGATCAAAATAAACACACACACACACACCCAACACCACAGAGGCCCAACCCGACGGAGTTGGCGCTTGACTTGCCACAAGTTCCTCCAGGTGTCGAGGCTAACCAATCTAAGTTTACAGACACCGGGGACGGAGTCTAAGCACTAAAAGCTGGTGGTCTTGCAATTAACCCACGCCATTGGCAACTTGGTAGCCCCCCCTGTTCATGTTCAAGGGCAAGCCGTTGAGATCCTGGAGACCACGTTGCAGTCTTTGAATGGCTTGGTTGACATGGGCTTGGGATCTTGCCATTGCAGCCGCACCAAGAGTGTAGCAAACGAAGCACTAGACTCTAGACACGCCAATCAGCACAGTGAGCTGTGACCAAAGACCAGACTTCGACCTGCAGTCATACGGCGGTTTCCCTGAGCATTGCAAGTTGTTGTTTCACTGGAAATACTTGGGTATGCATACCTAAAAATGGTGGCTTTCCTTTGGTTTCCCACTAGATCAAGCTGAAACGGGTACCCAAGCTGCCCCTTGCACCCCGCCTCCTTGCACTCAAACACAGCCGGGACCAGTAGACCGCGCTCGCACCTGCCAAATGCACTGGTCGAGCTGTCGCTTTTCCCGGCCCAGGTGCTAGGGGCCCCATCTGCCTCGGGGCGATCACAATACGGAACCCGTGGCACCGTCGCATCGCGAGCCCTCCATTGATGAGTTTGCAACACCAGCCCATGTGATCTGTAAGGGCCGGTGAAGACCAAGCTTTTGGAGGGCGCCGGCGACCAATTTGGCCCCCTTTGTCTGTGTGTCTGGCCGACAAGAATGAGATTTGCCTGGCCGACCATATAGCTCTGGATGTTCTGCAGAAGACCGTCATTCAGCACAAGGGTTTGTACTTTTGGGGAGGGCTGACCTTGAAGAAGCTGACCTTTAGGAGCTTGTCAAACCTGGATTTGCCGAACAAACTCCAGTAAGAGATTCGCTGTTTCTGGCTATCTGTGTGTTGCTTTGAGACCTAAACTGGCAATCCTTGGAACTATGAATCAAAGGAGTATTGGCAGAAATGTTGGCAATAGCTATCCTTGTGCAAGTCAAATGTGCTTTGTACATTTCCCAGACTTGTGGGGTGCAGAAATTGGTGCCGCTAATCCGCGGAGTTTTGGCAGGTCCCAAACATGTATTCGGGGGTGGAGGGTGGGTGTTTGGCCAACCTCATGGGCGTCTCTACAGTAGCATTGGCCGGTGAGCACAAAAGGGGCCGTCCTTCAGCAAGCGGGTTTACTTGTCAGGGGTTGAACTTTTTTTTTGGCGCCTCACGGTTGACAGCGACAAATGATAGACCTGTCAGATTTGGCTCCACCACCCTCAAGCAGGTGAACAACGAAAAGTCGTCATCTTCTCAACGCCCTTCACGCCACTTAGGCAAACATGGGGCATGATGTGTCTGTCACTGGCTCCGGGGAAGCCGTGCTTATATTGAGCTAGCAAGGGCAAATCTGATTGGCCAGCAACAGCTTAAGTTGCGACTGAAGGGAGTGCTCGGCCATTCGGGAAATTCGAGAATGATTCTGTGCTTTGGAATGGATGAGGGTCCAAAATCGCCAATAGGTGAGGCCCCTGCAATCTGCCCATCTGCGGAGAATCGTCGAATCCTTGCTTAAGGTGACAAAAAACACTTCATACGCAAAACAAAGAGATTCCAGTGAACACCTTGACACCTTGACAGCTTGCCAGCCGCTTCTTTTCGCTGAACATCATCTTTCAGTGGGAACAAAAATCAAAGGTTTGACAAGGAGAGGTTCCCCAGGGTATTCAAACCGTTGCAAAGGAGGGGCTTGTAATTGTCAACGTGTATTTAGGGGTTGCAACTGCCCACGATTTTACAAGACTTCCCCTCTGACCTCAGCTCGCTGGGGCTGGGCTGGTAGCCCGCTGCCTTGGCTGCGATTCTTGCAACACGAATGGCACCAACAAAAGGGGCGATCCTAGAGGAACGCCTATGCCACAGATTGCGCCAGGGTTCCGCAAAGGGCAGCACAAAGTTTGGTTGTCAAGATCAGCTGTATTTGCAATTTACAAGTATCGCGGCCTCAAAAGGGGCAAATAGACAAACTAGGACCAGTTTAACTCCCCAACTGTGGGGCTTGGGGGAAACCTGGCCGGCAAACAAGTTCAAACACAATGGCCCCCACCCGTAGAAGTGATCTTATCCAGCTGAGTGGCCACCTGCCAAAATCAAAGCCCTTCTTATTTCTTCATGGGGGCATGAGTACTTACTTTCAAACCACCTGCAAGGGTCACTTGCTGTATAACGACGCGGGTTGATCGATGCCCCTCTGGATCCCTCCTCACACAGCTGCAGCTACGCACTCCGAGAGTTGCTCAAGGCAACTCAAACTCCAGGCCCCGCCGTCAGAAGTTAGCAAAAGGAAGCCGCACCCAACAATGGCACCAAGGATCAAGCCAAGCAACACGATCAGGATCCCAGGATTTTGGACCGCCCAATCCAGTCAAACTCTGGAAGCAATCAGTGGCTCCATCGATCAAAGAAAACCACCCGCCCCAAGCGACTTGAGATTGCCAGCGGACATACACTGCGCATCATCGATGGGGCCCCGGGCGCACTGCGCTTGGCAAATGTCGGTGTGAGGCAGCACAGGTCTGGCGCAAGACCTCGCCACGAGGGACCTAAAATGGGCATGTGTCAAAATGGGGACCCCAACAATTGTGGTTTCCTTCTAATCCGAAAACAGCACCGAGCCTCAATAAAAATAAAACCCTGGTGGGGTGGGACCCCTGCAGGTGATGTTATTCCCCTTTTCAACCAGGCAGAAAGAAGTTTCACTCAGTTTGAGTGAAACAGCAGACCCCCTCTTCCCAATGCTTCCAAACTTAAACAACAAGGAAACCAACGATTTTAAATTGTATATGCCCATGTTTGCAGCAAACAAACAATGTTACCCGTAAAGGAGACTACGAGCTTCCGCCGACAATGGCGAAAAACCCAACGCAAAGTCTTCTTCCCGAGCAAGCAGCAGGGCAGCGTGCGGCTCCGTCATGCTGACCACGGCAAGGGGCTGCGCAAGTCTCGCAAAATGCTGATTTCTGCTCTCAAAGCACGCACAAACGCATACAGTCATACAACGGACGCCAAGGCCAATAGCCTGCTTGGAGCATTGCAAGAGCATAAAGCCCACTGTGCAAATCATAAGGAAAAACCGCGCCCAAACAGCGACTTTTAAGGGCGACAAGTATGCCCAGATCAGATACGAATGCCAAGAGGACGAGATGAAGAGCCCTTGCAGGCAGAGGTCCCCTGTCCCAAGGTGTGACGGGCAAACAGAAGCACTTGCAAGAAAATACTCTTCGGAGCCTGAAAGGTTGCTTGAGTTCCCGCAGATCTCCGGCAGGCACACCCGCAGAACCACGCTGGCTCATGCGCAGCTGAAGCAGCGGCAAGGCTAGCAACGAATGCGCACGTTTGACCAGCAAAAGAAACACCGCAACAAGAACGTTTTGCATCTTATAAAATTATGTCCTGAGGCACACAGAGAGCAGGCGCCAACGCCAAAACCGCAACACAACGCCAACCGCGCCCGGGCGCGGATCTATGTTGAGACGCAGTCGACTTGGGCCTTGAGAATGGAGGCCGGCCCCAAGACATACGCGGCAAACAAAAAACAACGGCTTGCTTCTTGAAAAGTTGTTTGCACCACAGGCTCAGACACAGAAGGGAAGGCACAAAACTACGACCGCGCCAAGCAGACTGCGCACCTGGCAGACGCCGAAGTGTGGAGACGATGCGAGCTGCTTTGGGGACATTGCACAGTACAGGCCGAGGTCCCCAAAGAAGCCCGCGCTATTCCGAAACGCTACGCAACGACGCGACAACGCCAGCAGGGTGAGAATCACCCGAAAGGCGCTTGCGGCTGAAAAAGCACCCCCCCTTTAGAGCTAGAACCACTTCGAAATCTGGCAGGTCATTGACTCAGCGCCCTTGTTATGAAGGAGGCGTCACACAACTTTGGTCAAGGATTTCTGGTGCCGCTTCTTTACAAAGACAGACGGCACATTCTGTTGAGGGAGAACTGTATCTGTGAAAATGCAATATTATAAATCTATGTGTGCATCTCGTGCATACTCCTGTTTGGCAGCATCTGCAAAGCAACCGTGCAACTGATCATCTGGCATCAGTCCAGGATTCTCCTGCTCCTGAGAGGCATGAAAGATCGATGCTCGCGCAAACCTTCCGCGCCCTTCATGGCAAAGACTTTGATACCAGTTCAAAGGCTCATACCAAAGGTTCTTTGAACTGGCAAGCCGCTTAGCTGCGTGTCAATCCCGAGCGACCCGGTCAGCCTCCGAGATTGGCATACAAAATCCGACATGCGATGTGAGGTTTACATTTGGTTTCCCATGGCACTTACCTTTCCTCTTCTTACTGAGCTACTGGGGTTGCCCATTGGCCGAGGTTGACCAATGCACTCCGTGGCCTCAGTTTTGGGAGCCGTGCGGGAGTTTTTGGGGCTTGTTGTTTGGGAGGTCCTCCAACAAATCAACCATTTCCAATGCCGTAGTAGGCTCTGCGCAAAGAAGAAACATGTTTGGTGATGTTCCACCCCAGTTGCCTGCGATACAAAGCTTGTGCCCTATTTGGGGGTGATCTTTGGTCCACCCAAAAAGGGACGAGGGTGAAATCCACTGAACGTGGCCGGGTCCATTTGTCATGGAAGCACTGGGCTTTCGGATGATAGCCTGAAGCATCTTGTCCACTTCCGTTTCTTGGACAAGGGTCAGAATTTAAGAAGAGCCCGCACATGAAGAAAGTGCAGGCCCCGAGGTCTGTCGGTGGCCCGACTTCTGAGACGCGGGCGGCTGGCCCCCATAAGCAATGCCTTCTGGTGCCACGCATTGCTGAAAGCACCTTGGTGGGAGGCAGCTCAGAAAGGCCGGTGGATCAAGAGGCAGTTCCACGTTGCTGGGAAATAGGCCTGTCTTGGCAGGACTTGTTTGAATTTGCTTCGTCTTCCTGATTGATCTGGCACGATTCATCTTACCGCAGCTGCTTTCTTTTCCACATCCCTTTGCAAAATCAGTTCGCCACATCCAACCAATCCTGTAGTCATCTTGGAAATGTGACACGGATTTGTCCATAGTTGCAGCCCGCACATGTACCTGATGCCTGCCAACGCAAAGCAACATGAAGAAAGTTACAATGCAACGCCAGGCTGCTCGTGGTATGGGTGCATCACATGCATAGTAGAACTTTGAAGAGCGTCTGTACTTTTACGCCAGAACTCCTAGCAGCAAGCATGAAAGGGCGCAAACCCAGTGGCAACCCGCTCCTTCGGGGGCGGGAGCGGGTGTTAGGTAAGACGCATTTCCTGTTCAGGCACAGCAACTGAAACAGTGGTCAGGTGCCCAATACCTACAGCGTGTAAAAAAGTCTGTCCAAGCGTCATGATAATCCTAGTACACCTCAGCGCGGTACCCAATCGAGCAGCCCGAATCCAAACCGCATCTAAACAAGTGGCCAACGAAGCTTCCGTCGCTGAGCAGTGATGTAAGCTTTAAGGGGCAATCATGAACCCCCAAATGTGGAAACAGGAACGGCTTATCAATGACGGACATCATGGGCTTAGCAAGTACGCCCATCCGACATAGTCTTGCCTGAACTGAACTTGCATGAAGATCGCTTTACACGGATGAAGACATCCACCAACGTCCCGGAGAGCGTTGCTCTACTGATTGTGCCGCGCAAGAGACTGACAGATTTTTTTCTGCATAGCATGCGTGGGGCGATTTTGCGGGGCTGCGTGGCAAATGCCTACGCTGCGCTTTTACCCGTTGAGGCGTTGCGTGGAAGCTAGTTGTGGTTGCTTCCTTGCTTGCTTGCTTGCCTGCCTGCCTGCCTGCCCGCCTTGCTTGCTTGCTTGCTTGCTTGCTTGCTCGCTCGCTGCTTTTCTTGCTGAAACAAGCGTTTTCGAAAGGCTTAAACGTGTTTGTTCTGCTCACCTGAACGAGACTGCCAATCTTCACCTTAGAAGCCTCCAGGATATATGCACGCAGGTCTGGTAAGGACACATCTCTGGAAGGATGTGCGGCAGCACACATACCTGTAAGCATGTATGAACACGCGAGCGGCTTTTTCTGCATACACATCTTCTCAAATAAGAAACGCCAACATCGTGTATCCATGTCCTATAAACCAAATATTCTATGCAGCGCAATTTCCCAAGACGTCTTAATGTTTACTGGTGCACGGTCAAAGACCATGAAGCGGAAACATGTTGCCTCAGCAACCAAAGGGGAAGAATACCACAATATACCACACAGGGGCAAAGAGCATGGGACAAAATCCTTTTTGTTTTTGGTGTGTGCTCAAAGGGACACCAACCCAAAACAAGGGGAACCTGATGCGACTGGGCAATTGGGACAAAGCGCTGCGGCCAACGGGATCCGGTCAATTGCTCAGCTCCAGCACCCAGTGAGCCGGAACTCGGTTTTTCCTTCATCGCAAGAGACCTGGCGCTGGCAAACTCAGGGCTTGGGTTCCACTCTTCATCAACCAATGCGAAACAAGCAGGCGTAAGACGCCACAGCATCTTAGCTTGGTCCATCAGTTGGACAAACATATCAAGGTATGTTTCTGACGGGTCCGCGATCCAGCTTGCACTTTTTTAGAAAGCTTATTCTCCAGTCGCAAGGGAATAGGCCTGACACAACAGTCTGCTCGTGAACCTAAATCTCACATGAACAAGCCTCGGGTAAAGATTGGGTGGTTATCGAAATTTCACGGATCCGCCTAGGAGAGTGGTTTCCTTTGAGCTTTCCTTTTGTTTCCATTGCAAGAGAGGGCTCTCTGTTTTGCAACGGCCCTTTATACAAATATGATATATTTGTATATAAATATTTATACGCACATGTGTCCAATCAGCGTACGTGTGTCTGCACGCGTGCATGTACGCATGCGTAAATGAAATTGTATGAATGCGTTTTGTGGGTCGCTTATTATCAAAAAGGTGGCTGGGCCCCAAGCAGGATATTGTTCAGCACGCTTTACCACGCGCCGCGCCGGTAAACACATTACACACAGCAAGTTCCACTTCCTCTGCTTCATCCTCCTCGAGCATAAAAGGGTTGAGTATCAAGATCCAAACGCCTTGGCAGCACTAGCAACAATTCTTCGCATTCGCGTGGCTGTAGCTCCGCTCTCCACCTTCGTGAGCCTTTCGAAGTCAGCTTCTCCAAGTCACCACTGCGACATCAGTAAGCTCTTCCTTCGACATGCTACGAGGCCGCGTGGCTGGGAAAGTCTGCCTTGTCAGATCCCCTTCCTTGCAAATGGCTGTTGCCCAGCTACATCATCCGGAGCCCTGGCTTGAAGTCTTCAACACCAAGGAAGTACACCACAGGCGCAGCTGCAGCCCTGGCTTGTTCAGCACCAAAGTAACACGCGAAGCACTTCATGAGTCATGATTATTCCCGGTGACAGCAATCGCATCTCTGAGAGGATGAAGCCAGCCACAAACAACATCCTTTCCTACTGGGGAGGTATGATTCGGAGCGTGGTTTGAGGGCATGGGTCGGGGTCTGGTTCGGGGGTGTGGCTCGGACAAGTACGCATGCGTATGTGAATGTGACTGCATGTCTGCAGTATGTTTGTCTGTAGTAGGTTTGTGTGTCAGTATGTCTGTGCATACATGTCTGTATGTCTGTATGTCTGTGTGTCTGTGTGTCTGTACATACGTGCGTACATATGTCTGCACGGCATGTGTGTATGTGCTCTATATATGATTCTCTCTGCCTCAGTATGTGTGTGTCTGTACTGATGATATGTGTATGTGTGCGCACGCATGCATGCATGTACTTACGTCTGTATGTCTGTATGTCTGTATGTCTGTCTGCTTGTGCGTGCATCTCTGTACACGCACGTAACATGCATACGTGCATGTTGTGTTTATGCCTGCGCGTGCTTACGTGTATGTTTGCATGTATGCATATGTGCGTATGTGTGTGTGTGTGTGCGTCTCTATGTCTGTGTGTCTGTACATGTGAGGGTGTCTCTATGTCTGTATGTCTGCACGTACGTACATGTATGCGTGCATTCGTCTTTATATTGGTATCTATGTGTGCGTTTGTGTATGTGTATGTCTCTATATGTGTATGTATATATATATATGCGTGTTCATTAACTCTATGTGTGTGTGTTCGTACATGTATGTGTGCGTATGTGCATATCAGTGGGGGCTCAGCAAGCCTTGAAGCGGATTTGACCTTTTTCTCGACAGAGGCCCCTTGCTACAGTTTCCCGACAAGCACGCTTGAGAGATATCGATTTTTGCCTACACACAGTCTCCTCTGCAAGGCCTTCCTCTCTCAAGGCCTCCTGTCTGTGAAGGTTTTGTGGGTGGTTTAAATGGAAGTCCGGCCTGCTCAAAATCGATTCATTCTGTGCACATTTCCTTGCTTTGAGATCCTCGCGTTGAGGGCTGCCAGAGAGAGAGAGAGCGAGAGAGAGAGAGAGAGAGAGAGAGAGAGAGAGAGAGAGATAGATGGAGAGAGAGCGAGAGAGAGCGAGAGAGAGAGAGAGAGGGTTTGCTGACAGTGCTTGTTGAGGGTCCAGAAATTCCTTGAAAAAGAAGCACGTGCAAACTGCGTGTTGAGTGGCTATGATTCACTGGGGACACGTGATTCAATCAGGTTCTAAGCATGAAAGCCATCTTCAGGAGAACGTGCAGGCGATCCGGGTTATTTTTTGGCAAAATAGGCAGGCCTGACAACTGCGCTCAAATACGGCGGTGAGAAGGAAAACGCGGAAACGTGACAGTATGACGTGGGAACGCGCTGAGAGTCTTGCTGAGACTTGAGACTCAGCAAATCGAAGTCGTTGCTGAAGGTTCTGTGCCAGGCTTGCTGGGTACAATGTTGGTTTTCAAGGCTTCTTTCAAGTTTTTTCAAGAACAGTCTAATTCCTAATTAAAAGTTTAAGTCTTTTTTACCCGAGGCAAGTTAAAAACTATGCCAGAAGTAAGATAAATTGAGTCTTAAAATTTAAATTTCGCCGTTTTGTGACTTCTCGGGCGACAGTCGCATGGTCAGCTGCGCCGTCAGATTTCCGGCGTTAAGACACTTTTGAGTACAACTCACAAGCAACTTATTGCAAATGCAAATAAGTGAGCCTATGCATCCCGATACAGGAGTGCGCCCAATTCGAAATGCACATGTGTCATGACAAGGCACCAATTCAGACAAAGCTGCGCTGTGCCTTTGGGGCGACCCCCTATTAGTTTCAGAATTGCTGTTTGCCTTGCTCTCAGCAGTTGTGTTCCTGTAAATCAGCGTGCGTGCGTGTTCGTGCGGGTGGGGGTCCCCCAGCCTCCAAAGCGCTGCTCCAGCATGGGGAGCACCTCACAAACGGCGCAATTCGTGGCGGGCATCAATTTTGTCGGAACAAGACGGTGCAACAGTCAAAAGAAGAGAAACCCAGTAGAAAGTGGATATAAGTATAAGAATGAAGGGGCAAGTATGAGAATAGAGCATACCCTTACCTCGATTTACCGTTCCTTTGGATGTCTTCTGAGATGTCACCAGGGGTAAGCATATAGCTTCATTCTGCGAGACACGCGCAACTTTGCGCCTGACTCACTCCTGCAGGAATACCAGAGCTCCACAGACGCCAGCCCAAACGGCCTGCGTAGGCCTGACAGGAAGCCTTCATCAAGCACACGCTCATGCCCGTGCGCAACTTTATCTGGGCCCAGGAGGCGCCGCCCGCGAACTTGAGGGCGAGGTCGGTCAGAGGCCGAGGGCATCTGAGCTTCAGGAACAAGTTTGCTGTAGCTCCATCCACATTGCTGGCGTTGCCACGCAGGCAGAACCACCCGGCCTCCTGCAAGTCACCCGCATCTGGCTTTGACATGCACAGTCCTTGCGCTCCCCGTCAACTGCAAGCACACTTCACCAAAAACACCTGACACCCGCACTACCGCAACACGTGACGAAGCCACTCGCTCGAGGACTGCCAGGCTTTGCAGCGAGCAGGCGCAACTCCAGGCTATCGGGCTGCCATGCTCGCTCCGCCGCGCCACTTGAAGCCGGGGCGGGTGTGAAGCCAGAACAAACCGGCCCCCGCATTAACGCGGCGCAGAGGTGGAGCACTTTGACCTGCAACCCAGTTTAAGGCCGGTTCGATCCGGCTATACTGCCGTCTTTGCCTGGTCCAACAGGGCTGAGCTGCATTTCGCCTCCTCTATCAGCGTTTGCTCTTCCGACAAGATGTTGGCTCGAACAGTTCTTCTCTACTTGAGGAGCGGGTGAACGAAAGCTAGCAGTTGCTGCATGAGATGGGTCGGTGACAGAGTGGATTCATAGGTAGCTTGTGTACAACGAGAGGCCCGGCAAGATTCGTAGGATGCGACACGCAAACGCACATGGTGGCGTGGCAAACCTTGAAAAATGAAAACAACGAGAGGCGTCAGAAGCTGTCTTAAAGCACCTCTGGGTTCTGCATGCTGCGTGTGCAAAGATTCTTGCGAGGTGGTTTACTGAGAAGACTGAGGTCTCAAATGAACAAGCTGAATCGGTGGAACATGTAAAAGTTCGTAGCACCAAGTCCAAAACGGGCAAACCGAGACTGCTGAAACACTGAGCCACTGCCCGGGGGGAGGGGTGGACCATCGAGCCTGAGACGGGGGGGCCTGGACGGGGGGGGGGGGAGGGGGGGGGGGTCTAAATAATTGATTTGTTCAATCTTTTCGGCTCAAATAATTGAAAAAATCAATCTTTTGGCAGTTGAGCCCCTTACCTTGCTTACGCAAGGAGAAACTTCAGCTAGCTAAAGCTAGCTTTCGTGACAAGGTGACAACTGGGGTTCTTTTGGCGGTGCCCTCGACCTGGCCCATCAGATCTGAACGGACTTGGGCGAGAACTTCTTCTCGGGAAGGTGTCATGGACATCCTTGTGTGTTGTAACTTGTAGCCTCTCTTCAAGCCTTGAGAATTTTATACCTTTCAACTTTAAGACTTAATTTAGGGTTAAGTCTTAAAGGCAATCTTTTGTCTTACCGGAGCCAGTTCCTTCGGCAGAGCGCGCAAGCGCTGGCTGAACATGCTTTTGCCCCTGCCACGCCCCTTCTCCTCCTTTTCCATGGCTGGTGAGCGGAAAAAGCTTGCGCAGGAGAGACACCGGTGGAGAAAAAACACATTAAAAGATAAAGGTGTCAAGGAGATGGAGCGCTAAAGAGCCTCCTCCACACTTCCTGATTTGGAGAGAGGAGAAAGGGTCTGACAGCTGTTGCTGCCATTGGAAGTCTCCGAGACAAAGCTCTTGCTTCAGTCTATGGTCAGAGGTGGATGTGAAAACAGTTGACGGGGCCGGGTATGACCCATGGGACACAAATGCGCCAGCCACGGTTGCTGGACTTTGCAGCGCATTAGGCACTTTTCAGCGCCACTAAGATTGAACATGTTTTGCTTAAGAACTTGCACTTGTCAGCGCTTTGGGTACTTTTCAGTGCCAAAAGAGAAATGTGACTGCGAAGTCATCATTCCTTGGTGTACCTGAGCCACTGGCTATTGCGTATGTCAAGTTGGTGACGAGAAACATTGGCATGGTTACTGTTGATTGTTGCATTGCTTCCTGGAACATGCCTGAAGGCCTGGCTGAGTAATGTGGATAGCATGCAACACAGCTAACCCCCTTAACAGCAATGCCTAGGATTTAGAAAAGCTGGGATGGCTGTCAGTCCGTGTAAAACTGGGTCCCTAGCCACCGGGGCAAGCTTGATGCGCAGCCACCCCAAGGTTGCACTTTGCATGTGCTAGGCACTTCTCAGTGCCGCGAAGTTTGAAAGACGTTTTGTTTAACAACTGCACTTATCAGTGAACTTCAGAAATGCCAACCCCGGAGGCCAGGGACCAAGGCACCATCAATCCCAACAAATGCCAAGGTAGAGGAGGCCAGGGACCCTTTTCAGCGCCATCTATAAACTTGTTTTGTTTGACCACCCCGTTCCTGAAGACCCTCAAGAAGAGGCACCAACTGCAAGGCAAACTAATGGTTGTCAAAACATGTGACTCCATGTGATTCTCAAAGCTACAAAGAATGAACTAGAAATGCAAGCACTGCGCCCCTCCAAGCAGCATACAAGCCAAAGGCCTGACCCCCCCCGGCAGAGTTGGCAAAGTTCTGAGGCCTGAACCATAACCACAATGTACAGGGGTAACACCAAGTTCTGGTATCCTACTTTGTCTTGTCCTGTATCTTAGTTAGGCTGCCTTGATTTTCCGCGTACGTACAGCCGTGCATGCATGTGTGCGTGTCTGCATGTATGTATGTGTAAATGAAATTGTATGAATGTGTGTTTGTGGGTCGGTTATTATGAAATACGTGGCTGGACGGGGGAGACGCCGTGTGATTTTGGGAGCGATTTGGGGGTAGTCAGGGGCGCTAAGGCTTGGAAAGCCGCAGGGTGACATGGATGGCTCTTAAGCCCTGCTGCTGTCACATGCAAGAAATTAGCAGACAAATGTCCGTCGCCTTGCTACAGCCGACGGGCTTCCCTGTGGTGGTCTGCCCCTCTGCCCCGGCTCCGCTTTCCAGGTACCTGCTCGCAAGAAGATGTGCCGAACCCTGTCTCCTCCTCCAGAGCTCGCATCCATGTGTAATCTGCTCCGATGAAATAAAAAGAAAACGGCTGCGGAATTGACGCGCTTCCGCGGTGTCAACTCCTGATGCTCTTCCGCCATGTGCACCGCAAACTCCGAACGTTGTCATCACCCCCCACCCGTCCCCCCTCGGGCATTAAACAAAAAAAACGAATGTGCTCACAGCTGGAACTCTTCTCGGGTCTGCACGTGTATGTCTGTCTGTCTGTCTGTCTGTCTGTCTGTCTGTCTGTCTGTCTGTCTGTCTGTCTGTCTGTCTGTCTGTCTGTCTGTCTGTCTGTCTGTCTGTCTGTCTGTCTGTATGTATGTATGTATGTATGTATGTATGTATGTATGTATGTATGTATTTATGTATGTATGTATGTATGTATGTATGTATGTATGTATGTATGTATGTATGTATGTGTTTAGGTATGTAGGTATGAAGGTATGAATGCATGTATGTATGTATGTATGTATGTATGTAGGTAGGTATGTATGTATGTATGTATGTATGTATGTATGTATGTATGTATGTATGTATGTATGTATGTATGTATGTGTGTCTGTGTGTGTGTGTCTGTATGTCTATATGTCTGTATGTATGTATATCAGTATGTCTGTATCTGTATGTCTGTGCGGTGCGTACGTACATATGTATGTTGGTATCTATCTATCTATCTATCTATCTATCTATCCATCCTTCCATCTATGTACCTATGTATCTATCTATCCATCTATCTATCTATCTATGTATCTGCGTATGTCTCCCTGTATGTATCTATTTCTCTATGCATGTATACATGCGTGCATGCGTATGGCTTGTGTTTAAAGGAGGGAACCCCAAACATGACGCGATTCCTGTTGGCTTCCCGCTAAAGTGAACCTGCAAAGGGTACACATCCACCAACCTGGAAGTGAGGCATCTTTTCGAAGACTGTCGTGTTGGAAAGCAGGTCTGGGGACTCATATCTGGGGTGCTCTAAAATCATGTTTGTCTGATTATGTTTTATATATTAGTCTACCCTAAACTATCGAACATTTTTGTCGGGAGACCCCGCGGCGTATCAATCAGCACCCATTTGCCTCCACGTTTTGGCCGGGCGGAGGTGCAAAGCCTTCAGCACACGTCACTAGGCCTGGGCCGACATCCAGCAAACCCGCAAACATGGGACACAATATGACTGGTTGATAACTAGCTGCCCGCTGGTTCAACCAGTGATTTTATTGTCCATAGTACTTGTGATGTCCTATCAGTAGCGAGGTGTCCGGAAAAAGAAAGCATCCCAAAACAAACCGCTTCACTTCGAGGTCATGCCCAGACTGGGCCCGTCGCCATGGCAAACACACCCCTTTTGTCAGAGGAAATGGGCACATCGTAAGCCAACCATTTGGTGAAGTCATCTCAACCAGCTACATGGACATGTCAAACGGCCAAATCGAAGAAGTGTTGAGGAGAGAGTCTACATCCGCAAAGTTCTTGCTGGGACTTTATGAGAATCCTGCAACACACGAGCAATGCTCTGTTTGGGCAGGGCACGACAGACATGTGAATCATGGAGGGACGGAACTCGCGTCAGCGCTAGTTCCTCCGATGTACAACAAGCACGCCATGTTGTGGGCGGAGTGTGTGAAAAATCATGTTTAAAGGGAGCCACTTGCACGAACAGGAGAAAGCTGGCAGAACTTCCCTCTTACACTTGCGTTTCCAAGCAGTGGCACATAGATACAACCAATGCAATATGGACCGGGTGATTCTGCTTGCTTTACAAGCTAAGGTCATTTTCTGGGCTGTTCAAAAGGAGGGCTAGGCACGGAAATGCCCTGAAAGAGGAGCGGCTTGATTCGCGGCTGGAGAAGAAACTCACTCGCCAGGTTGGGTGAAGTCATGAACACCCGGAACAAATCAGTCCTGTGATTCAGGACCCCAAAACGGGCTCCACAGGGGAGAACCCCGGCTACCCTAAAGCAGTGTTCCAGCGTAATGCCTCCCCCATGCTGGGTGCGAAGCTATCACCGCACTTTGTTAATGGGCTCGGTTCATCGCAACACCCGCGAGTTCGCGCGAAAGTCTGCCAGATTCCCAGCACCGGCTCGGATGGCATTTGCACCTGACTCACACGTTGCCCGTTTGACTCAATTACATGCGGAACGTGCGCACGTTGTGCTGATCTTGCGCATGACCTCAACATATGCTACCAATCAAAAAACCAACAAAGATGATTTCATGCTGCTGGCAATATCATAACACATTGACAATGGCGACGCGTCCGAACGAGCTCCATCCCAGTTGCCCTGGGACCTCACTCAGAAAATCTGCCAGCCATACCAGGCTGAAAGAAAGTTGGAACCCATTCTGACTATTTCTATGGCCACTGAACAATCAGAATACCTTTTGGGTTTACTTTGTTAGTGTGAAACCAAAGGGACAGCCTACCGATTTCCTATATGGCTATGAAAGTTAATCGGACATACCCTCTTATGTAGTGGACATGAATGAATGATGCCCATCAAACGGTTCCAACTAAATTTCATGCCCAGGTCTGTTAGATCCATTTGGCTTGTGACTCCTATAATTACAGGGTCCCCAAATGCTAATATTCAGTTGGCACGGAACTTCTGTGCCTCAGAGTTGGGTGCCTGGCACTGGTAAGCAGGAACTGCTCGGCCGGTGTCGCAACCAGAAACGTCGTAGCCTGCGGTTCGACACCAAAAACCGCAGAAACGCCAGGGGGAATCCGGGAATGGGTCATCTGGGAATTGTCTACTCTTGAGGTTTCGTCATTTTTTAGTTCAACATAGTTCAACCCTGAAACAGGGGTTCGGAAATGTGCCCAAGAAACCGGCGGGATCCGGAAAACAAGGCAAACAATAAGCCCGAAACCCGGTATTCAGTGGCTGTTTTGTAGAATGCCCGCTTTTCGTGAAGGGCCAACCCACACAGTCAAACACACACCAGAATCACACGCCCCAAGGAAAGTCCTTTTGCATGTCAGCAGGGAGTCAAAACTAATGTCTGACAGCAAAAACCTGGGGCTGTTGAAAACGCGCTGGATTCATCAGGTGCTCCAGCCCTGCAAGCAATTACGGAGAAGAAACCATTGTCAATGGGTCTTGGAATGAAAACACATGATGATTCTGCCCCTCGTCCTTAGGCAAGTGACGGGTGGACTTGGCTTCCGCAGCGTGAATGTTTCCTAAAGTGAGGGCGCTTGGCCTACAATCACCTCTGTGACCCTTTCATGAATGGGCGCACAAATCCCATGGACAGGCCCTACAGGAAGCCTGACAGCGCTTGAATTCTTGTTGGGTCAGAAGAGCTTCGGTGTTCTGCATGGCCCAGAGCCGGCTGAAACACGAATACGTGCGAACAAAGGCGAAATATGAGGTCTCAGCGTCTCCTCTAGACACATCGAAGCGTAGCACTAGTTCAAGGAACGGACAGTTTGCGGAGGACTGCAATGATCAACTCTTCTGCAGTTTATATGCATTGCAATGAAAGGTTCTCCCGGTGTCTGAAGGACGTTCAATTCAAGAAAGCAAAGGTTTGAGTGGACACTGCGTCAAACAATGCAAGTGTCCCCAAAAGCTCCATGAAATGGCAGTGCGTTGAATGCGCGAATGTCGGGTAGCGAATACAGGGGAGGCAATTCATTGCTCTCCGCCCTGAAAAGGAAAAGGGGAGGAAATTCAGTCAAGTGCCTTTATTGGCGGTGGGACAAAAATACGGCTGCCCGTCGGTGAGGAAAAACATGATCCCAATCGCTGGCAATACTGGACTAGTACTAAACTAGTAGTAATCAATACCAAACCGATACTAACGAATACAAAACCAATATTAAGTCGGTCCAGAGCCAGCAAAACCAATTGAGGCCCTAACTGACAAACTCCGTGTGACATCCTCCACTACAGCCACCCAAACATATGTTCAAGGGGGAGGAGCGGCACCCCTTTGAAGCCCCAGAAAGTTCATAATGATTCATAAGAGAACAACTTCTGGGTCCTCCAGTAGAGAGGTTAGAACAAGGCTACCCTTTTTTTCTGTGGTCTATTTCAGTAGCGGAACCCTCCCCCAAAACAGGGTAAAAGGGCCCTACTGGGAGACCGAGACTTTGTTTAAAGGCCGGAAATAGAACAAGAATGGTATCTACAGCAATACCGAGGAATACTACACAAATACTAAACCGATTCGAAAAATACTGCTGAACCAGGACACATGAGTACTAAACTGCTAAGCTCGTAATACCCAGAACTAAAACAATACTTACTAATACTGAGCCAATACTACGCCAATCCTGAGCCAGCAATACCAACTGAGGCCCCAAGCAGCCAAAGTCTTTATGACACCCTTTTTTAATGGATAAAGTAGTTGTTTGAGGGGAAGAAATAGAGAAACACGACATATATGGGCCAGTACCGAGGAATACTAAACAAATACTAAATCAATTCTAAAGACTACTGAATCAGTACAAAGGAAAACCAAACCAATACTAAACCAACTCTTAACAGTACTGGGGCCAGGTAAAGGGAATACTCAAACACTTCTAAACCAGTACTAAGCAGTACTTGCTGAGAGACTAATTGAGTCGGTGCAACACTGTCCGCCAATACTTTTTAGGTGTGCCATTATTGACCCAGAAATTTTGTTCATTTGTTTGAGAGGGGCTTCACTTTCAACATGACGACAAAAGCAATGACGTCAGCACATGGCATCAGTCCCACTCGCCTGCTGTGTCTGCCGGCAGAAGACATTTAGCCTGATCCGACACGGTGAGGGGTGTGACTGACAGCCGTTTCCGTTCGCCGGAACATGAAAGATGTTACCGTTGCATGGCTGCACACACAGACCCCATGTCAACATCATACGACTTCTAGCAGAATAATGAACATTGCGTTGCTCTCCATAAGCCTCTACATTGGTATGTCCGGTCGAATGCCAAAAGAAACTCTTACAGGGAAAGATATGCGGAATTCCGTCTGATTTGTGAGGAGTCTCTATCCCCTACCGCTGACTTCATCACAGAAGGAACTCGGTGGACAAGTATTGCCTCATATGCGCCTTCTCTGCAAGGTTTGGTCCCTAAAATGGTGAGCTTCCTTTTGGTCTTCCTTCAAATACCCAGCCCAAATCGGGGTCCACCAGTCTGGAAAACACGCCTATCCCCCCGTAACCACGGTAAAACTATACTAAAAGCAAGCTGAACAGCCGATCTGCTTTGGACCTGACCACAATGCCAGAACCTGCAGCAGTTACAACTGGCCACAAACCCCATCAAATCCCTTTGAACAAAAAACACTGTCCCATAGGGAACGGGGTTGCTCCATGCCCCTGTTGCTTGTCATTGATTGTGAGCCGTATTTCTCACAGGGGGGGGGGGTAACCATTTAGGGGATGGTTCAAAGGGAAAACAAGGGAAACTGCCCGTTCTGAAGGGTCCCTTTTGGAGACAAATCCGTTGCAATTCGTGGGGAGCGACTTCAACAAGTGCTCGTGTTCTATTTCCAGCCCCAACCACAGACGTGCGCATGAAGAGCCCCACAAGGCCCCCCAATGACTGCAGTGTTGAGCTCAATCAAAAAGAGGCGCCTCGGGTGAGGGACTTGAGGGGGGTACTCTTAATATGGTGGTTCTCCTTTTGGTCAACACCAAATGGTCCCTCAAAGACACCCCCATTTGCTGTCGCATGGCTCCTCATCCCGTGTGACTCGCCTGTCTCAAGACTCATTGCAAAAGGCTGGCAGGAGCGGGTACTGTTCCTTGCTCTTGCTGGCTAGGACACACCAAAGTCTCGGAACCTCAAACCACATAGTAGAGCTGGACACTACCCAAGGAAGGTCACAATGTCAGCAACAGTCAAGGATATAACTGCACAGCCATTCCTCCAGGACTCCTTGCAAGCTGCAAACACAATTGCCCATGATCTCAAAAAAGGCCGCATGCGCTTGGTGTGTTTTTCTTATTGACCCCCCCTTTGTTTGGAGTGGGGGTGGTTTGAAAGGGCGGGGGGGGGAGGGGAGGGGAAAATCTTTCCTGGTTCACCACACTCAAAGACCCCGGTAGAAACATATTTGAAACGCTTTTGGGGCGTCCGTCTCAGTGGGCCCCGAACCCACCAAAATGGACTTAGAGGTTCAACAGGGCAATTTTTCCGAAAAAATAATCCCCGAAACACGTTGGTTTCCATACAGTATGGCTGATGACTTTCAAGGCACACGTTTCAGCTGGGAAGCCCCCCTTTTTTTGAGCGCATCGGACAAACCAGGAGCCTCAGGGCAGCCACTCAGCTCCAGGACGCTCAGGTGTTGTTGACAAAGTGCCAAAGCCTGGGACTTGGCGCTTCCCTCGAATTGGTCCAAGCAAATTTCCGGATTCCAAAAGCTCAACTGACACTTGGATCCCCAAGAGGACCTTTATCATGGCTTTCACTCATTATACCCCCAAGCTCCCTGTAAAATAGGCAGACATTGGTGGTTGGATTTGTGGTTTGGAGGCGCTCCCGCGGTCGTTTTCCCATTTGCACCCTACAGAAAAGCAGGGCTTAAAAATCTCTAAGCCACAAATTAAGGTCCCTCTAATTGGTGGTTTGGATTGGTTGGAGGTGGGGGCAACCTAAAGTTTTGTTCTTTGTGGGTCTAGTTGTCCGCTTTTAGCGGGAAAATGGCTGAGAACCACCAAGGACGGCCCAAACTGAAACCAGGGTACTCGGGCTCCAATTTCTCATTCCTCCACCTGCTCCCATATCGTAGCATAGCACCGTCTAGCTCCAGCATCGCAAGTTCGAGCCGTGCAAGCTGCAATCTTTGTTCCTTTTGTCTGGAGCACCGCAGTAGGGTATTGGATAGATCCACTTTCTGGACATGGCAACATGGATGTTGAAGCAACATGGATGTTGAAAGGCGAAAGAGATCACAAACAGCAGCCTTCAATGGATCCACCCAAATTCTGCTGAAATTGCTCTGGCAAGCTCGCCAAGCTAAGCAAGGGGCCAGCATCAAATCTTGACAACGTCAAGTAGTCAAGTTGGGCAGCACCGGCATGCAAGTGCCAGCAACGAGCGAGAGTCTGGTCCATTCATCCAGAAACACGCAGCCTGAAGCCCCCCAAACCGAGAAGGCCTACCTCAACTGAACAAAATATGCCTTCTGCTGCCAAATGTCAAGTCTTGATGATTGCGTGTTCCCATATTCATGAGCTGTGGGAAACGTAGGCTCGCAACAAGTGAGCCACATTCTGGTTGCTTCCTCTTTGGCGGGGCCTCAATCCTTCCAGAACAGCTGAGGTGTCCTGGAAACATGTTTCATGAAATGAGCAACTCCCCGTATTTATCTTGTGAACTTAGGACGTTTTTTTTCTTTAATTCGGTGACGCAAGGTCGCAAATTCGAAGGCCCAGCTCTGACCTCAAGCTAACGTAGTTCCTGGAGTTCAAAAACCGGATCAGGGACTTGAACAAGAGCGTTTCACACATCGGCCTAAGAAGCACCTCACGGTGAAAGCGCCTATTGAGAGGATCTGTGGCTCTCAAAATGAAAGAGCTAAGGTTGCGCAGGATTTAGTTGTTGGTTCCATGTACCAAGGCGCCATTTGGTCCATGTTTTCGAGGCACAGCCTCACAAACTCATTGTTTGAAGAACGCCAAACTGCGATGTATGCTTGTGCTTTGTGCAATTGCAGCCATCCAATGCTGCGACGGGCTTGGGTTTTGGGAAATTGAATACAGTAGCTTAATGATTGAGAATGCTAGATTTCATTGGCACTGGTCAAATCTGGAATTTGGAACGTGTCTTGCACTTTACCCCGAAACTCTGAAACCAACGGTTGGGAGCGGTACGTACTTGGTTTTGACACGTGTCAACCTCGCACAGCACAACAGGGCGCCTCGGCTGCTGCAACTTATCAAGACAATGTTGAAGGCATGCAGAGGCAGACTGTGACACTGTGTCTTGGTGAAAACAATGGCTACCTGCACAGCCTGTTTGAACATATGCAAAAACCTGGACAAAGGTAACTGAGCAGTACGTTGAGGGAGGGTGGTGTTCGGAAAAGGATCACTGCAGATACATTGCATCCATACTATATACAGATATATAATGTATATATATATATATATAAGTCTGCTTTTAGCAGCATTTGAGTTCAAGGGGTTTTCCAGCACCGAAGGGCTTGATGCATTGGGACTCTCCACACCTGCAGCCCGTGCCATCCCGGATTTCCTATAGGCCGTGCTTGAAACTCGCTGGAAGATCTCTTCCGGGCTCGAGGTCGAGTCTAAGGACTTCTTGCTCAGCTTGCCGTCAGAAAAGGACATTGCCAAAAACCACGGAAGGCACCGGACACATGCGGCTTTGTGTTCCGAGCTGCATGTCGATGTTAGAGGCCTCTTCGGAAATCCAAAGCAACCACCTTGGATGACTGCTAGAATTCACGCAGAGCAAGACTAAACATGCATCAAATTTATGCAACTTCTCCAGTTCATCCCTAAACAGTGGCCGACACAAAGTTCCAGTCTGAAGCTGTCGGATATCTTTTGCTGAAGCCAAGTAATGTCGGGACATGACGAAAAGAAACCCTGATTAAGGACGTCATGACTTCCCGATCAACTGCCAGCCAATACTGCTTTAAAGGCAGCGGCACCTCCCAAAATTCCCTCTGATTGAAAACGTCCCTGTCCGGGCCAAGTTTCCCAAAATACAATAAACACAACATGTTAAACTACCAAGCTACTGCCAGTACTTTTGCCAATACGAAGTCCTTTCATAGTCTCAGGGTTGTAATTCGAGAAACAAAACAACAACGGGTAGCCGGAAAGCAAACTTTTATTCTGTGTTAAAAAAGCAAGTTTGGACAAGCTCGCAAAGCCCCCCTTCAGGCTGGCCCCCTCGAATAACACAAAACCCCTCTGATTCATCCTGGCCCTCGCATGGAAAAAAGTGTTTTCCTTTTGCTTTCCTATTGCAGTCCTATTGGCCAGACAGGGGTCCACACACGCAAGGACCGGAGAGGACTGGCCAGGTCCAGACTAATCCGAGAGGGCCAGCAAAACCCTCCACAATCCCTTAAGGGGCGGGGGTTATTGGGAATGTCCCCCCATTATGGCACATCCATGAAGAGTGGCGGTGCCACTTGACGAAGTATGCCAACGAGACGCAACAAACACCCAACATGGTAATTGAGAAGGAGCGCAGTAATTGTGGCTGTGATAAACATGATGTTAAGGATGATGCTGCTGATTCTGATTTTGAACATAAGCTTGCTGATCTTGTTCAATGATGGTAAAGCAAGCACGACAATGACCAAGATTACTGTGACAGTGATGCCGCAGTTGCTACTTTTGATGATACGATAGCGATAGCGGTGGCGGCGGTGGTAGTGGTGACGCAGACTGTGATGAGGACAAAGAAGAGACAGTGAAGTGTTCTGAAGCCTGCCTACGCATTCTTTGAACCATCTAATAGCAACACAATGATATGCCACGCTGCCGCTTCAAGTAAACTAGTAAAACTAGTGATCACGTGTAGCGCTAGTGACATGCCAAGGGGGCAAGTTGACAGAGAAACAACACAAATCATTAATAGGATGGTAAAGTTCAGAGGGCTAATTTTATAATCTTAGTGAACAGTGACAACGACATACAACGACAACGGCTACGATGATGGCTGTCAATGCCAAGGGCGGCAAGGGTGATAAGACTATGGTGGTATGACAGCAACTGCATGTTATGAGACAATCTCTGCCTTTATTGTTTTTTCTTTCCCCCCCGCAAAGGTGAGCAGAGTATGATCCAACTAACATCCACCGGCCTAAAAATGGGAACCTCTTGGGTCAACATGTTGTCCCACCCGCCAACCCACCGAAGTCACCCTCCCTTCCGCCCACCTGACCATCACTAGTCCCATTGGTCCTCCCCCGCGAGCAGAAATCCCGGCACCGCGACCGGAACGGACGCCAGACCTGCGAGCCTACTCCGGGAGTAAGATCATGCCTATTCTCTGGGACATGTGTTTTTTTGGGAGTTTGATGGAGTTTGGAAATGCACCAGAAGAACATCCCCCAAAACACAAGGGATGGAAATGAAGGGCTTCCCGGAAACTGGCCATGGCAGGGCCAGCGCGCACGCTCCGCGCCTGAGCGCACGCCTTGAGGCGTGTGCCTAGCGTCATGGACCGGGCAATACGGCCTGTCTCTGGATCTCATGGTTTGCATCCTGCAACCCAAAAGCGTGGCGTTTTGGGGGGATCCTTTGCGAGGCACCCCCTAGGGACCTTGTGACTTTGGCACAAGCCAGCGAACAAGAAATCCATTGAGATCCAGCCGCAACGAAGGATTTCCCTTCTGAAGGTAATTGGTATGAACAGTCTGCAAGTTGCATCCAGTCGAATCAGGTGCTCTTCCTGGAAAGGAACCCAGGCGGGGGTCTGACATTTTAACCTGCGGGACATGGGAAAATAGTGAGTCCTCAGGTGTTTGTGGGAAACTTGGCAAAAATCCCACTGCTGTGGATGACTAGAATCACGAAGTTCCAAAGATCTGCAAACACCACCGCGTTGTACGTATGTGGGCAAATGAATTTGTACACATGCTATATCAGTTTGGGCCTCAAGTGCGGTAGCCTAGCTTCGCAAGGTAGGATTCTCGGCAAAGTCGTCACAACCAGAGATTTGCCGTCGCTGGGCTCCTTTCCGTGGCTCAACCGCAGAAGCCGCCGTTCATCTTCCTCCGGCTCCAGTTGTGGGACCAGCCTAGGCTTTCCAATTTAGCCAGAACGCAAGGGTTGCACGCTTGGAAAAACGCCGAGCCAAAAGACTCAACTAGATTGAGTAGAACATGTCCTTCGCGCAATTCCTGGTGATGTTACGGCAACCGGGCGACTGGCAAAGGGATCCCTTGAGTGCAGCTTATGCATCGGCAAAAGGCACATGCAAATGCAAGGCCAACACGGAATGCAGCTGTTGACGTGACAAGCAACCATCCAGTCGGACCATCAAAATCAGGCTCCTTTTGGATCCCTCTTGAAATTGCTCAAAGAGTCTGGATCAATTTGACCAACACCTTGCATGGACCCATCAATCCACATGTAAGCCCTTGAATTCAGCCGGCTGGAGATTTCGGGAGCTGGGCTCCCAAGCTTCACTCGGTCACTTTGTCAACAAAACTTCAACCCTAGGCCAGGAACACCCCGAATCGCGGGTCCATGGCTTCGAAACGCGGGATTCCCATTGCGCGTGAATGCTGGGGGAGTCCCATCCATTTGCAACAAGAAAAACTCGGTTGCTTTCGGCTCCCCTGCTAAAAGTTTATCTTTTAGTGGTGTTGTGGAAAACCCA